ACCCTCTGTGCCCTGATCTGCATCCAGTGATTGGACTAACCCCGCTGTGCCCAGATCTCTGCCTGTGTGGCCTTAACCCTCTGTGCCCAGATCTGTATCCAGTGATTCAATTAACCCCGCTATGTCCGGATCTCTTCAAGTGTATACTTAACCCTCTGTGCCCTGATCTACTAGCTGATGAGTTAACCCCGCTGTGCCCAGAACTCTGCCTGTGTGGACTTTACCCTCTGTGCCCTGATCTGCATCTAGAGACTGGATTAACCCCGCTGTGCCCGGATCTTGGCCCCATGCCAGACTTAGCCTGATTCTTCCTGAATACCTTGCCCATGGACTCAAACCCCTGTGGTGCCCCGCCGCTCTGTCCTATTAAACCCGGTGGACTATCGGCCCGCTGTGTGCCCATATTGCCATCTTGAGAACCCTACTGTTTCGCTGTATCTTGTGTTCTGTGGACTAGCTATTTGATCATCTATACCCCCGAGAAACTCCCAATAAACGCCACACGTCAAGTTCTGGGTGATCTGTCTCCGTGTGCTCTCTCTCTGCGCTCCTAGTTCGTTACACATGGTAACACTGGAGAAGCTGCTGAGATCCACAGCTCAGGCGGGAGAATCAATCCACAGGACAACTATTAGTCATGCACTCCACAAATCTAGCCTGGAAGAGTGGCAAGAAGAAAGCCATTGTTGAAAGAAAGCCATAAGAAGTCCCATGAGCAGTTTGCGAGAAGCCATGTGGGGGACACAGCAAACATGGAAGAAGGTGCTCTAGTCAGATGAGACCAAAATTAAAATTTTTGTCCTAAAAGCAAAACACTGTGTGGCGGAAAACTAACACTGCACATTACCATAAACACACCATCTCCACCTTGAAGCATGGTGGTGGCAGCATCATGTTGCCGGGATGCCTTTCTTCAGCAGGGACAGGGAAGCTGGTAAGAGTTGATGGGAAGATGAATGGAGCCAAATACACGGCAATCAAGACTTGAGACTGGGGTGGAGGTTCACCTTCCAGCAGGACAGCGACCCTAAACATACAGCCAGAGATACAATGGAATGGTTTAGAGCAAAGCATATTCATGTGTTAGAATGGCCCTGTCAAAGTCCAGACATAAATCCTAATATTGCTGTTCATAGATGATCTCCATCCAAGCTGACAGATCTTGCGCTATTTTGCAAAGAAGAATGGGCAAAAATTTCACTTTCTAGATGTGCAAAGCTGGTAGAGACATACCCAAAAAAGACTGCTGTAATTGCAGTGAAAGGTGGTTCTACAAAGATGGTTCTACGTTTTTGGTTGTAGCATGACAAAATGGAAAATTTCAAGGGGAATGAATAATTTTTCAAGGCACTGTACCTGTCCAGGGATCCACTGCCATCCTCACTCAGGCTAGTTCTTCACTATTCTTTGGGTTCCCAGCACTGGCATCTTTAGTATGGAAAGCAGACCAACAGCTTCACAACTAGCTTCCTATTGCGCATGTACAACCTGTGCTGTGTTTTGTGAATGAGCCCACAGCCTTTTGGGACATGTGATATGCCCCATAAAGCTGCAAGTAACGGGGGGGGGGGGGGCAAGGTACTTGTCAAAACTAGGTACCCGCTCCCCCCACCTAAAAAAAAAAAAAAAAAAAAAAAAAAAGAGGGGGGAGGAGTACTTAAAGCAGAACTTCTCCATTTAGGTGAAGTTCTGTTTTACAGAAGAACTATAGGCAAAACCTTTTTTTTCCCCATTTTGGATAGAGCAAGGGAGGGCTATAACCCGTCAGATTTTTTTTTTTGCAATCTGTGTCCCATTGCGAAGATTTCCCTTCCCTTCCTGTCCCATAGCCCAACAGAAATTGAGTGGAATTCCCTGCAAATTAATGGAATTCTTCAGGGACCCCAAGGTCACCAGAATTAGTGTCCCTAATGGAAGATTTCCCCGCTATTATATTTTCTGGGGACAACCCAAAATTTGGGATTTTCTTTTACTTTCTATGTTAATGGTAAACAGGAAAAATGGAGGGTGAATCCCCTAAATGGGATAGACAGCAATAACTGAAAGGCGTTATAATCGCTCTGCACTGTATCCAAAACATTAAAAAAAAAAGTTTTGCCTTTAGTTGTATTTTGAGTTTGCTGTATACTTCGTATTCCATACTATCCATAAGCTGTGATGTACATTCCACTCACTAACTTCCTCTCACTGTGCTGCACTGTATATTCCCTTTTCCACATTGTAGTAATTCAGGGCTCAAAATCTCCACTCACCTGCTCGCATTGCAAGTGAAAATATGTTGAAGGCGAGTGTGTCCAGACTGCAGCAGGTGACATTGACAGTTGCGGGTGATCAGTACAGTGGTGGGAACAGTTACAAGCAGTGATCTCCCTGTATGGCTTTCAATGAAGCAGCAGAAAGCTGCAGAAGGTAGAGGAGAAGTGGCTTCCAGCTGCTTCATTGAAAGCCATGCAGGAAGATCAGTGTTTGTAACTGTCCCCTCCGCTGTACTGATCACCCCCAGCCGTCCATTGGATTTCTCTTTCTGGGCCGCCCGCGTGCTCCTCAGTTCCCTGCCCCTCCCCCCATCCTCCACACCAATAAGAGAGAGGCTGGATCTGCTCTGCCTCCCCCTGTGCCCACTCACACTGCAGTCCGTGAAGCTTCTAAGTGGATGTGTGGGCGGGAAACTGTATACAGAGTAGCCGACAGCTCTTTAATGCTTCTGACTGAGCAGGGGAGCCAGGGGCCGTCTATGTGAGTCTGACCTTCTTCCCCTCCTTCCCCCCCCCCCCCTCCTCTTCGACCCCTCCCCTCCCTTTTTCCTCCCATTCCTTCTTTCCTTCCTCCCCTCCCTTCTTTCTTCTCCTTCCTCCCCTTTTTTTCTCTCCTTCCTTCTTCCCCTCCCTCCCCTTCTTTTCTCTCCTTCCTTCTTCCCCTCCCTCCCCTTCACCTTTCTTCCCTCCCATCCTTCCTTCTCTTCCATCCTTCCTTCATCCATTCCCTCCCTCTCTTCCTTCCTCCCTCCATCCTCTTCCTTCCCTCCTTTTTATGCTTCCTTCCTCCAGCCATTCCCTCCCTCTGCTTCCTTCCTCCATCCATTCTCTCTCCTTCCTTCCTTCTCTCTCCCTCCCCTCATCCTCTTTCCTATTTTGTCCTCTAGCAATAGCTTTCACAAGTGAAACCAAAAGAGTTTTGTTGTGTTGTGTAGTAGTAGTTGGTCCCATGTGGGGACATCAGATGTAAGGGGGACTGTGATGGAGGCGCCTAATGTAAAGGGGGACTCTGATAGTACCTGGTGTAAAAGAGGACACCTGATGGGTGTTTAGTATTTATTTTTGTAACTTTATTCTGTATAAAATATTTAACAATGGCATTCATGAGATAATTTATGAGGGCATCTTTAGGGGATGAAATTAGGGACGGGGCAAGGTAGAGGTTAGGTGGGGCTACTGGCGGTAACTCTTAAGGCCTGACTAGTAGCTCAGGACTTGAAATTTTGAGCCCTGTAGTAATTGGTACTTTTAAATTGCTTTTGCAAGTATGTAAGGCCCATATGTACACTGGATCGACTGTGAAAAAGGCTAATTGGCTATGGTTGCCTTCCAGGCTTAAAAGAAAAGTGTGGATCCCCCCCCCGATTATACTTACCTAGGTGGATACAGCATTGGTCCAATGCTGCATATGTCCCCCGCTGGCTCTAAGTGTGAGAACTCAGCAATTACATGACCACTGATCACTGAGTTCTCACCGCTGCTCTGAGTAGAGAGCAGTGACTGTCAGTCACCGCTGTCTGCTCTGCCCCCCTCAGCGCTCACTGGAGTGCTGGGATGTGGAGGAGAAGGGCGAGGCTGGCTCATGCTCTCAGCGGCCCTCTTGAGAGGCTGAGCTAGGTGTCACTCCAGACTCTGGAGTGGATCCCGACTTTGAAGTCGGGATCTTTCCCCAGCCTGAACCAGCTGAGTGATATCAGCCGGCAGCGGGCTTCAGCCCATTGTCAGCTGAAAACGGGTCACAGGAGTGCAGAACAAAGTGCACTCCTGTTATCCATAGAAGAAATAGAGCCAAAAGAGCTTTGGCTGTTCTTCTCGTTTCAAGTTCTCAATCCTCCCCTGGCTCCTGACCCTCTTCAGGTCTCAAGTCATATGCCTTCTGTATTGGCCAGCCATAACTAACATAATTCCAGCATGTATGTTACTTCAAACCGACACCCATGCCAAGATTGAACATTGAGCTGCGACAGTGGTTATTAAGGTACGTTATGCATGAAAATCTAGCTGCTGTATTTTGGTCTTTTTTTTTTATTTTGTTTGCACCATTTTACCCTTTTTCTTATTAAATAATATTATATTATATGAAACATTCCCATCTGGTATGACAATGTGTATTACAGACATTTCTCAAAAGTAATAATTGTTATCACAGATATTGTGAAAAGAGCGTGTTTCTGATAAAACACATGGTGGCAGCTGTTTAGTAACAGATTCACTGTGCACTTAACCAAACCCAGTGTCAATTACTTTCAGTCTGCTGGCAACTAGATTACGAGAAAAATCTCTGTGCAGCACTGGGCAGTGTGAGTTTACTCCACATTCATCACATACTGGCAGCACAGTGAAATCTGTCCAGCAGTTTTTCACATATTGGTGAAAGAAACAGATCGGACACTGCTGTTGTCACACATGCTACATACAGTGAGAGCATATATTTACATCAAGGCAAGCTGGACCAATGTAAGTATGCAAAAATTATAATTCCTGGAGTTCAGCTTTAAGCAAATAATAAATACAGGCTGAAGCTGTGAAAAAAAAAAAAAAAAAGGTTTTATGAAGGTTATTACACAAAGTGCATCTAATACATATTCATAACTGAATTATCCCATTTAATCACAGTGAATAACATCTCTACAATGAGAGCAAATGTTTATCATATGTCTGTTGCCATACTTTCTTCCACAGAGAAAATAAAGGGACACAGCAAGGTATCTGCTGCTCAGCCAACAAAGGATGCAGGGCCAGTTGTTATTTGTGTCCTTGTTTGTCATGTTTATGAATGAGATCAAGAATTTGGTTTCCTGTAACCAACCTCCCTTGGTCTTGATGCTTTCTCTGCTCTAGTCTCTTTTGCTCAAGGAGATAGGGGGAGTTGAGTAGCTGAGGTGGAAGAAGTGACCCAGTGGGCTGTACTCTTTTCACCAAGTCCCAGAATAAGTTTTTGTTGTTTTTATTAATAAATGTAATAGCAGTTCCTCGGTTGCCAAGTCTTCCTACTCTTCCGATCTGCACAAAAAAAAGTGAAAAAATAATTACTTAAATAAAAAAAATTGAGTAAAGACACTTTATAACCTATTTGAGTACAATTGAGTACAGTTGTTTGGGAAGAACACACAACACTATGTGTGGAGAAAAAAAGGCACAGCACACAAACATCAAAACCTCATCCCCACTGTAAAACATGGCGAAGGGAGCATCATAGTTTAGGGCTGCTTTGCTGCCTCAGGGCCTGGACGGATTGTTGTCATTGATGGGAAAATGAATTCCAGAGTTTATCAAGACATTTTGCAGGAAAACGTACGACCATCTGTCCGCCAACTGAAGCTCCGCAGAGGATGGGTGATGCAACAGGACAATGACCCAAAGCATACAAGTAATTCAAAAAAACAATGGCTGCAACAGCACAGAATACGCCTTCTGGAGTGGCCCAGTCCTGACCTCAACCCGATTCAAATGCTGTGGCATGACCTTAAGAGAGCGATTCACACCAGACATCCCAAGAATATTGCTACACTGAAACAGTTTTGTGAAGAGGAGTGGTCCAAAATTACTCCAGATCGTTGTGCAGGTCTGATCTGCAACTACAGGAAACGTTTGGTTCAGGTTATTGCTGCCAAAGGAGGGTCAACCAGTTATTAAGTCCAAAGGTTCACATACTTTTTCCTCCCTGCACTGTGAATGTTTACATGTTATGTGCAATTAAACCATGGCAACATCTAATGTTTGTGTAGTATTATGTTCAGCAGACTGTGTTCTTCTATTGTGACTTAGATGACGTTCAGAGCACATTTTATGCCCAAATTATGCAAAACTCCACGTAATCCCAAGGGGTTCACATACTTTTTCTTGCAACTGTATGTAGGTCCCGCACCACACATGTGAGGTATCTCCACAAACGTTATAGCAAGAGTAATATTTCTAGCACCAGACCTCCTTTGCAACTCTAAACTGGTGACTTGTAAAGGCTTTAAAAGAGTCGTCTATGGAGATTTTTAAGTACTGTGGTTTGAGGCCATTTCATGAGCGTATGCATGTTGAAAGCATGACGTGAGGTATTTATTTACTCAGCGTAACATTAGCTTTTATATTTTACCAAAAATCGGATATTACATTGTGTTTTTGTGCGTTAAAATTCACGAATGCTTTATTTTTTTATTTAAAAACTGCTGCACATATACCATTTGAGATAAAAAGTTGCAACACCTATCATTTTATACTCTAGGGCCTCTGCTTAAAAAAAATATATCCTGTTTGGGGGTTTCAAGTAATTTTTTAGCAAAAGAAAATACAGATATTTACATGTATGGGAGAAATGTCAGAACTGGGCTGGTATTGAGGTGGTCAAGACAACAAAGCAACACTTTTTTTTTAAAAGACAAATAATACCTGCTTTTTGTGTCATTGCCGTGTAAAATCATTTTACATTCTTTAATTTGTCCTATTTAAAATTAGACAAAAAATTTACAAAGGAATTAAAGGGCTTAAAAAAATAAATAAATGGAAAAAAAAAAAGGTTTAACTATTAAGAGGTTACTAAAATAAAAAATAAAAAATCAGCAGGGAGAAAGAAGAAGTGAATGAGTGCAGATTAAGGTAAACCTGCTTTACCAAACATCTGCAGATTGAAGCTCATCCCTCTGATCTGCAGATGAATGAATACAAAAGTGACTGTTACTTTATACCACTATTTCGACAGACTGTTTCTGCCGAAAGAGTGGGAAAGGGGCGTGGTAGCAAGGAAGTAGGACTGGATGTGCTACACACATCCTGAGTATTTTGATGACATTTTGTTGTACTTGTGTTTGATGCCAAGTGTTCTAAACTAGTGAACGGCTTCCCGACCTCCCTATAACAGAAATACTGCTACAGGGCGGCACGGGTGCACAAAATCACACATATATATATATATATATATATATATATATATATATGTATATGATCTTACATTTCTGGGTAGTGGGCGGCCGCAGCTGTCAATCACCGGGTCCCGGCCCCAGCAAACTTCTGAGCACAAGTGTGTGTATGTTATATTAATTATATATCTCACACACACACGCAGTGGGTAAAAACACATATTGAACACGTCACCATTTTTCTCAGAAAATATATTTCTAAAGGTGCTATTGACATGAAATTTTCACCACACGTCAGTGCCAATCCACAAGAAACCAAAACAAGTACATTCAGAAATTAAGTTATGTGTATTAAATGGAATGACACAGGGAAAAAGTATTGAACATGCTAAATTAAATTTATTTAATACTTCGTACAAAATCCTTTGTTGGTAATGACAGCTTCTAGATGCCTCCAGTATGGAGAAACTAGGTGCACGCATTGCTCAGGTCTTCAAATCTTGAAGGTTCTGTGGGCATCTTCTATGAACTCTGATCTGTAGTTCTTTCTAAAGATTTTCTATTGGATTCAAGTCAGGAGATTGCTTGGCCATTCTAGCAGCTTTATTTTCCTTTCTTTGAAACCAATTGAGAGTTTCCTTGGCTTTGTGTTTGGGATCATTATCTTGCTAAAATGTCCACCCTTGTTTCATCTTCATCATCCTGGTAGATGGCAGCAAAATTTTTATCAAGAATGTCTTGTTACATTTTCCATTCATCCTTCCTTCAATGACATGAAGTTTACCAGTACCATATGCTGAAAAACAGCACCATATCATGATGTTCCCACCTCCAAACATCACTGTTGCTATGGTGTTTTGGGGGTGATGTGCAGTGCCATTTGACCTCCAAACATGGTTTGTTCAAAGAGTTCAATTTTGGTCTCCCAGTATTTTACACGCTTCACTAAATGTTGTACAGCAAACTTTAAGCAAGCTTCAACATGCTTTCTCTTCAGCAATGGAGTCTTGCGTGGTGAGCAACCAAACAGGACATGGCGGTTGAGTGCATTACTTATTGTTTTCTTTGAAACACTTGTACCTGTCAATTCCAGGTCTTTCTGAAGCTCTCCACAAGTGGTCCTTGGCTCTTGGACAACTCTTCTGATAATTCTTTTCAATCCTCTGTCAGAAATCTTTTGAGTACCACCTGGGTGTGGCCGGTTTATAGTGAAATTATGTTCTTTTCACTTTCAGATTATGGCCGGCAACAAAGCTCACTGGAACATTCAGAAGTTTAGAAATCCTTCTGTAACCAATGCCATCAGCATGTTTTGTAACAATAAGGTAATGAAGGTTCTGAGAGAGCGCTTTGCTTTTACCCATCATGAGATATTTCTTGTGTGACACCTTGGTAATGAGACACCTTTTTATAGGCCATCAGTTCAGACTGAACCACCTGATATTAATTTAATTAATTAATTTAATTAACTGATAAGGGCAGGATTGCTTTCTAATAGATTTCAGCTAGTGTCTTGGCTTTCCATGCCTTTTTTGCTCCTCCCCTTCCATTTTATTACAACTTAATTTCTGAACTTATTTGTTTTTGGTTTCTTTGTATGTATGGATTGCACGGGCTGTTACCAATATGTGGTGACAATGTCATACGCACGCACACTAAAGTGATTTGTTTAAACGGATCCTGCATGTACTAACTGTACATACAAGTATATTCTACCAATACAGACATGAAAGTATGAAATTACATGCAAGCATCTTTGCTGACAGCAAATTCATTATGTACAACTCTACTTTTGTTGAAAAGAAAACTCTCCAGGCCAATTATATATATTGGAAGGAGTCAAACTGACTGTTGCATTTTATCTGTATCAGTGTAGTACAAAAGGAAATCCTACATCCCAACATCACTGCAGATGTAGAGGCTCTAGATCAAAAACATAAAAGTTCAATGCAGTCAATCTAAAACTGGAGTTGCCCAAAACATTTACCACAAATACAATGCAGAATACTGAAAAAGGAATTGTTTTAATCGCATGTGCAAGCAATGGGGATCTCCAGGGATTTTGAGCTTTGTTTAAAATATCAGAGCTTCATCTAGGCTTGCCTATGTCAACAATGTTGGGGATTTTTTTAGATTTATTTTTAATGGAAAAGGTCTAGGGAACACATTCGTCCTTTCCTTATTATTGTAGCTCTCTGTTATGTAGGCTGCCAGGATATTGAGCCCCCCCACACAGTTTTACAGCTTTATATCTGCATTTGACCATGGCAGCTATTCAACAAACAATGACACGTCTGCTTTAAGTGTGAAAAAAAAACTTTTATACTATAAAATTTGATAGATTTACCTGATGAACATATTCATCCATACTTGAAGGCATGTCAAAATTCACCACCAATTTCACATTCACCAAATCCAGACCTCTTCCTAGGACTCCAGTGCTGACGACAACATCATACTCTCCCTGGAGTAATCCCTATACAAAGTGGCACATATGAATTATTGAAAAGAGCATTTACATAGAGGTGAAATCATAAGACAGTCCAAAAAAAGCCATTAAAGACAACTGAAATATGGCTGGCTCAAAATTAAAGCAATTTCTAGTACTAAACAAAGCAATGGCTGTAATAAAACACAATTCATACTTAGCTGTCCCACCACCTGAGCTGCTAACCACTTCTCCGTTGCCGAGCTACCACTATTGTAAAAATCTTCTGCATCTAACATTTTCCAGAGAATCAGGTGTCTAGTTCCCTCTGCTGTTCTTCCTGCTGACCATTTATACTATTATATGACATCATAAAGACAAATGTTTGGTGAAAGGAACCACAGCACAGCAGGGGACTAGGCAACCAACCCACAGAGAGAAGTATCGGACATGGTGGTGTTAGAGTGAAGACAAGATGCACAGGCAGTAAAATTGCTAAGTATTAAACTGTATGGAAAGCCAAAACGTTTTTACACTTTTGACAGAATGTAAGAGACTTAGAACCTCTGTCAGGTTTTTATTCCTGTCTGTGTGTCCCCCCTGGTAAGATTCAACCTCTCTACTGATTATGGTGGATATTCACTGCAATAGAGGAGAGGAAATGTTTAAATGAGAAAACCTGTTCTGACGACAACTGTCTAAGAGGGGCTACCACTTTTGAACTTTGGAAAGAACTCCTCATACTTGTCCCTACTAGTTGTTGTTTGAAATAGACTTCCAGCAGAGATAGTGAGCCAGTCAACAGTAAGTGAATTTAAAAACGCTCATGGGACAAACCTAGATCTGTACTGGGACAAAGAAGAAAGAAGGAAAAAAGGAAGAAGGAAGACTTGAGGGACCACTGGCTCTTTTTCTGTTGTCTTGTTCTTTGTATCCAAGTTTAACAAGACTAATTAATCTGCGTTAATTTTCATTACTACTCTGTTTGATTTTTCTTCAACCACTTCAGTTTTTACATCTGTACACCACTATAAACCAGGGCAGTTTTTACATTTCTGCTATGGACCAGTTTATTTGGCAATAACTTTGTCATTACTTAGGATACCAAAGTAACTAACATGAAGAAATGTTTAAATATTAATTGTTACAAAAACTGTAAAAAAAAGGAGAATAGCTTAGGAGAGAGGGGGAAGAGGAAGCCAATTAAAACTGATTATGGTAAACTACGGGTTAGTAAGGTGAAATAAGAACACATTTTGTAAGGTTACTCTAACTGACATATGCAGATTGAAGATCATCTCTTTGATCTGCCAAAGAATGAAATGGAGTAAATACAAAAAACAAATGCTACTTTGTATCTTTCTATTCCACCTCTGAACAGTGTTTATATAAACTTTATCAGACCGTCCGTTTTACAGCAGCTGTTGAATAGCTGCTGTATTTACACAGCAACCCTAGCGTACTATTTGGACACCCAGGAATTGACAAAAAATGCCAGGGGGAAATGAGCAGTGGAGCAGAAGATCAGGGCATACTACGTTTACCGTTTTGTAAGTCAGACATTTTTTGGACAGGTGTAGCAAGTTCAGGGTACACAATTCGGTACTGGGCCACATCCACTGTCCCTGGGTCACCTGCTGGTGGCACTGTGGTTCCCAGAGTCAAAGGGCACAGTTGCGGAGGTCACCAGTGGGTGTCTCCCAGCAGCTGGGCTGTCCGAGTAATTAGGCTGCACTTGATGTGGGCTGCTGGGATCCCACCCACAACTGAGATTCAGTGCTTCAGTATCCTTCCTGCAAGCCATGTCCCTGCCTGAGCCTGATCCTTGTACCTGACCCCAAGACCTGCTCCTTGTATCCTGCTTCCTGCTCCCAGTACCTTGATCCCTGCTTTCCTTGTCTCCTGTACCTGTCCTGCCCATATGTGTTCTCTCCATTTTGTATGTAGTTAGGTTGTTATTTGGGGTTTTGCACTGTTATGTTTATTTTGTCACTTGCATTATTTATGATTTACTGGTATTGGTAGTGTGTCGTTTGTCTCAATAAACTTATTTTAATCTTATTCAGTTTGATTCCTGATTCCTTAAGGTACAGCTTACTGATCTGATCTGATCACCCTTGTTGGATGTCTGCATCCCTGACACCCTGTTCCCTAATGCTCCATGCACACTGGGTGTTTTGATAATGCTGGTAACGTTAGCTGTGTAGAGTCACATGTTTTTTTAAGCATTCTTGCAATCGCATTTAGCCGCTTTTTTTTAATCAAAAAAATGTCCAACTTCCCAGCCAAAAAACATTGATTACAGTCTATGTGTGCATGGATACTTAGGATATCACGCTGGGGGGTTTACTGGCTGTAGAAAAAACCGTCAAAAGGCAAAAACAGCAGCTGTAAAAACGTCAAGTGTGCTTGAGGGCTAAGTGCAATGCAGGCTGTGAACACTAAACATGGCCATACACCTCTAGTGCCTCCTACATGCAGCAACTAAAAAGATATAGGATGGCGATCTCAACCACCAACATTAAGAGACTTTGTTAAAAGTACAATAAAAAGTAAAATTTTAGACCTAGTTTACCTTGAGTATCTTAGTTCTTTCCGTCTGGGATTTATCAGAATGGATGGAAACGCATTCTAGTTCTGTAATCTTATGCACAGCTTCGCTCAGGAGATCTGCTCCCAATCGACAATCAACAAATACCAGGATAGGGGGCTGAAACAGCTTAGAATCCTAGAGGGACAGACATAAGCCTGAACAACAAATAAACGAAGCAAGATATTCTTTCAAGACATATGCATATAACAATTTATCATTAGTGCAACTGCACAATATTCAGAAATCGCACAATGCTTACATTTTTATTTATTAAAAAATTATTGCTACATATCTATGTGAACAACCACAAGCAAAAGGAAATTATGATCTAACATTTTACTGAAGGCTAAATTCTTAAATTATATACAATTAAGAAACATCTGCCATAATAATTAGTATTTTCGGTTCGGATTGGCTAATTTCTGAAAAAAAATTATTATAGTAATTGGCAATTATGTATTTTGCTGGATATTGCATTTACATCATCACCTATGTTACATGAGCAAGGAGGAGTTCAAGTAAGAAGTAAAACTGAGCCAGGATACAAACCAAACCAGAAAATATGCAAAGCTACTGCAGGTGACGATAAAGTTTGCATATCTCAACTGCGGATTTAGAGGTTTTTATAAAATATATATATATATATATATATATATATATATATATATATATATATATATATATAAATACACACACACACTTGTGCTCAAAAGTTTGCATACCCTGGTAGAAATTGTGAAATGTTGGCATTGATATTGAAAATATGACTAGTCAGTGCTTCCACGTACGAGCTAACAAACTCATTGATTATTTATACACTGACACTAATTGCAATTTAAAAAGCCACAGATGTGGGACATTAACCTCGAATTAGCATTTTAACCCGCGTGTGTCACCTTGTGTGTCTGTACCAAGGCCAAACAATCCAGGGTATGTAAACTTTTGATCATGGCCATTTGGGTGACTTCTGTTATCATTAGGATTTAAAAAGGAACCAAACAACTATTTGATAATAAATGGCTTCATATGATCATCATCATCCTTCAATAAAAGAGCATTTTTTGGCATGATCGTTCATATTTTCAATATCAATGCCAACATTTCACAATTTCTGCCAGGATATGCAAATTTTAAGCACAACTGTATTGTATTTTTATATATATATATATATATATATATATATATATATATATATATACACACACACACACACACACACATACACACACATACACACACTCACACATATACATTAAGTCTACACACCCTTGTTAAAGTGTCAGATTTCTGTGATGTAAAAAAATGACACAAAGATAAATAATTTCAGAACTTTTTCAACCTTTAAGGTAACCTATAAGCTGTGTAACAAACCTGCAATCTTTTAGGTGGAGGGAAGTAAAAATAAAAACTAAAATATATGATTGCATAAATGGGCACACCCTTAAACTAATACTTTGTAGTATTACGGCACTCAGTCATTTTGGGTATGAGTCTATCAGCATGGCACATCTTGACTTGGCAATATTTATCCACTCTTCCTTGCAAAAACATTCCAAATCTGTGAGATTGCGAGGGCACCTCCTGTGCACAGCCCTCGTCAGATCACCCCACAGATTTTCGATCAAATTCAGGTCTGGGCCATTCCAAAACTTTGGTCTTCTTCTGGTGAAGCCAGTCCTTTGTTGATATGGATGTATTCTTTCGGTCTTTGTCATGTTCTTCCCTCCTCCTACCACTCCATCCCCCACAGCCGTTTCCTCCTGTGCCTCTACCCCCTCCCTCCTAGATTGTACGCTCGAAAGAGTAGGGCCCTCTAACCCCTCGTGTGCTGTTTGATGTTACTGTTCTGTTTCATGTATTGTCCCCCCTCTATTGTACAGCGCTGAGCAAACCCTTTGGCGCTATATAAACTCGATAAATAAATAAATAAATAAATAAATAAATAAATGTTGAAAGATGAAGTTCCTCTTCATGTTCAGCTTTCTAGCAGAAGCCTGAAGGTTTTGTGCCAATATTGTCTGGTATTTGTAACGGTTCATAATTCCCTCTACCTTGACTAAGGCTGTACCCTCTACCTTGTTCCAGGTGAAGAAAAATAGCCCCAAAACATGATACTGCCACCACCATGCTTCACTGTGGGTATGGTGTTCTTTTGGTGATGTACAGTGTTGTTTTTGCGCCAAACATATCTTTTGAAATTATGGCCAAAAAGTTCAACCTTGGTTTCATCAGACGATAACACATTTTCCGACATGCTTTTGGGAGACTTCAGATGTGTTTTTGCAAAATTTATCTGGGCTTGGATGTTTTTCTTCATAAGAAAAGGCTTCCGTCCTGCCACTGTACCACATAGCCCAGACGTATGAAGAATACGGGAGATTGTTTTCACATGTACCACACAGCCAGTACTTGCCAGATATTCCTGCAGCTCCTATACTGTTGCTGTAGGCCTCTTGGCAGCCTCCCAGACCAGTTTTCTTCTCATCTTTTCATCAATTTAGGAGGGACATCCAGTTCTTGGTAATGCCACTGTTGCGCCATATTTTCTTCACTTGATGATGACCGTTTTCACTGTGTTCCATATAATGCTTTGGAAATGCTTTTGTACCCTTTGTCTGACTGACACCTTTTAACAGTGAGATCCCTCTGATGCTTTGGAAGCTCACTACGGAAAATGGCTTTTGCTGTAGGATGCGACTAAGAAAATGTCAGGAAAGACCTACTAGAACAACTGAACTTTATTTGGGGTTAATCAGAGGCACTTTAAATAATAGCAGGTGAGTACTGACTCCTATTTAACAAGATTTTGAATGTTATTGCTTAATTCTGAACACATCTACATCCCTAGGTATAAGAGGGTTTGCACACTTATGCAACCACATTATTTTATTTTTTTTATGTTTACTCCCCCCCCCCCCTCCCTAAAAAATTTCAGTTTGTTTTTCAATTGAGTTGTACAGTTTATAGGAAGCATTAAGCATGGGTTCACATATGTGTGGTATATCGTATGTGATATACAGTCAGGTCCATAAATATTGGGACATCGACACAATTCTAACATTTTTGGCTCTATACACCGCCCACAATGGATTTGAAATGAAACAAACAAGATGTGCTTTAACTGCAGACTGTCAGCTGTAATTTGAGGGTATTTACATCCAAATCAGGTGAACGGTGTAGGAATTACAACAGTTTGCATATGTGCCTCCCACTTGTTAAGGGACCAAAAGCAATGGGACAGAATAATAATCATAAATCAAACTTTCACTTTTTAATACTTGGTTGCAAATCCTTTGCAGTCAATTACAGCCTGAATGCATAGACATCACCAGACGCTGGGTTTCATCCCTGGTGATGCTCTGCCAGGCCTCTACTGCAACTGTCTTCAGTTCCTGCTTGTTCTTGGGGCATTTTCCCTTCAGTTTTGTCTTCAGCAAGTGAAATGCACGCTCAATCGGATTCAGGTCAGGTGATTGACTTGGCCATTGCATAACATTCCACTTCTTTCCCTTAAAAAACTCTTTGGTTGCTTTTGCAGTATGCTTTGGGTCATTGTGTCCATCTGCACTGTGAAGCGGCATCCAATGAGTTCTGAAGCATTTGGCTGAATATGAGCAGATAATATTGCCCGAAACACTTCAGAATTCATCCTGCTGCTTTTGTCAGCAATCACATCATCAATAAATACAAGAGAACCAGTTCCATTGGCAGGTATACATGCCCACGCCATGACACTACCACCACCATGCTTCACTGATGAGGTGGTATGCTTAGGATCATGAGCAGTTCCTTTCCTTCTCCATACTCTTCTCTTCCCATCACTCTGGTACAAGTTGATCTTGGTCTCATCTGTCCATAGGATGTTGTTCCAGAACTGTGAAGGCTTTTTTAGATGTCGTTTGGCAAACTCTAATCTGGCCTTCCTGTTTTTGAGGCTCACCAATGGTTTACATCTTGTGGTGAACCCTCTGTATTCACTCTGGTGAAGTCTTCTCTTGATTGTTGACTTTGACACACATACACCTACCTCCTGGAGAGTGTTCTTGATCTGGCCAACTGTTGTGAAGGGTGTTTTCTTCACCAGGGAAAGAATTCTTCGGTCATCCACCACAGTTGTTTTCCGTGGTCTTCCGGGTCTTTTGGTGTTGCTGAGCTCACCGGTGCGTTCCTTCTTTTTAAGAATGTTCCAAACAGTTGTTTTGGCCATGCCTAATGTTTTTGCTATCTCTCTGATGGGTTTGTTTTGTTTTTTTCAGCCTAATGATGGCTTGCTTCACTGATAGTGACAGCTCTTTGGATCTCATCTTGAGAGTTGACAGCAACAGATTCTAAATGCAAATAGCACACTTGAAATGAACTCTGGACCTTTTATCTGCTCATTGTAATTGGGATAATGAGGGAATAACACACACCTGGCCATGGAACAGCTGAGAAGTCAATTGTCCCATTACTTTTGGTCCCTTAACAAGTGGGAAGCACATATGCAAACTGTTGTAATTCCTACACCGTTCACCTGATTTGGATGTAAATACCCTCAAATTAAAGCTGACAGTCTGCAGTTAAAGTGCATCTTGTTCGTTTCATTTCAAATCTATTGTGGTGGTGTATAGAGCCAAAAATGTTAGAATTGTGTCGATGTCCCAATATTTATGGACCTGACTGAATTCCTGTGCAAATCACATGCAATTTGTGTACGGTGCGATCAGAACCATACATTTTGTATGGCTCTATTCGCACCGCACCCGCACCAAAATGTGCAGGACCCTTTTTTGGGTCCACACTAGAATGGGATCGCATAAGTATTCACACTTATACGATCCGATTCTGCACACCGCACCGCGTTTTGTGAACCGCTTTCCAGGTGTTGTTAACATACACACCTGCAGAGGTTCGCATGAACGGGGTGCGATTCTGATGTGGTGCGGAATTCGCACTGAAAACGCTGCGATGTCGGAACCGTATCAGTGTGAACCAGGGCTAAAAGGTGGACAAAGTTCTGAAATGATTTATATTTTTCTCATTTTTTTTTTACATCGCAGAAACCTGACATTTTAACAAGGGTGTGTAGACTTTTTATATCCACTGTGTGTATGTACACACACACAATATTGCCAAAAGAATTGGAACTCCCCTGCCTTTACACACACATGAACTTTAATGGCATCCCAGTCTTAAGCTGGCCATACATTATACAATTTTCTTACAAATTTCTGTCCAATTTCCTTTAGATTTACCTTCAACTATGTAGTGCAAGGGCCTGCCTAATTGGATAGAATTAAAGTGTTGTTTAGGTTTGACCTCATATTATATTTTTTTTGGTAAAGCTAAAGCAAAATTCTAAAGAAAATTGTATAATGTATGGCCTTAGTCCGTAGTGTTCAATATTGAGTTTGCCCACCCTTTACAGACCTATACCAGCTGTCCACAAGCTTTAGGAGTGTGTCTATGGGAATGTTTGACCATTCTTCCAGAAGCGGATTTGTGAGGTCAGGCACTGATGTTGGACGAGAAGACCTGGCTCACAGTCTCACTCTAATTCATCCCAAAGGTGTTCTATCGGGTTGAGGTCAGGACTCTGCAGGCCAGTCAAGTTCCTCCACCCCAAACTTGCTCATCCATGACTTTACGGACCTTGCTTTGTGCACTGGTATGTAGTCATGTTGGAACAGGAAGCAGCCATCCCCAAACTGTTCCCACAAAGTTGGGAGCATGAAATTGTCCACAATGTCTTGGGATGCTGACACCTTAAGAGTTCCCTTCACTGGAACTAAGGGGTCAAGCCCAACCCCTCAAAAACAACCCCACACCATAATTCCCCCTCCACCAAACTTTACACTTGGCACAATGCAGTCAAGCAAGAACCGTTCTGGCAACTGCCAAACCCAGATGCATACCTCGGATTTCCAGACAGAGAAGCGTGATTCGTCACTCCAGAGAACACGTCTCCACTGCTCTAGAGTCCAGTGGCAGCTTGCTTTCCCACATGGAATAAAAATATATTTGAAATACTATAATTGTGGCCATAGTCAATATATTTCAATATTTTATTTATATTTATATATATATATATATATATATTATATATATATATATATATATATATATTAATTACACTGTATGTTGAAATGCATTATTGTAAAATATATGAAAAATATTTTTAAAAATACATTTTCAAATATACTGTATGTCTTTAAAAATAGAAATCTACATTTATGGAATGCATTTACAAATATATGTTAAAGTTACTTTTTTATATGTTAAAAAAAATCTGAAGAATATATTTAAAAAAATATTTTAAAAAGTATATTTTTTTTAAAATATATTCTTCAGATTTTTTTTAACATATAAAAAAGTCACTTTAACATATATTTTTTCATCTATTTGTAAATGCATTCCAAAAATGTAGATTTGTATTTTTAAAGACATACGATATATCTGAAATGTATTTGTAACAATATTTTTCATATATTTTGTAATAAAAACGCATTTCAACATACAGTGTGTGTATGTATGTATATACACACACACACACACACACACACATTGAATATGGCCAAAATTGTAGTAGTATTTCTAATATAGGTCATATATTATATTTGGGAAGAATATTTTTAAAATGTATTTTTCTTCCAAATGGGTTACACCACTGCATCCGACGCTTTGCATTGCACTTGGTGATGTAAGGCATGGATACAGTTGCTTGGCCATGGAAACCCATTCCACAAAACTCTCTACGCACTGTTGTTGTGCTCATCTGAAGGCCACACAAAGTTTGGAGGTCTTCAGCTATTGACTCTGCAGACAATTGCTGACTTCTTTTCACTGTGCGCTTCAGCATGACCTTGCTCTGTCATTTTACGAGGACTAACACTTTGTGGCTGAGTTGTTGTTGTTCCCAGTTGCTTCCACTTTGTTATAATACTACTAACAGTTGAATATTTAGTAGCAAGGAAATCTCATGGATGGACTTATTGCACAGGTGGCAACGGTACCACACACGGTTGAATTCACTGAGAGCGACCCATTCTTTCACAAATGTTTGTAGAAGCAGTCTGCATTACTAGGTGCTGGATTTTATACACCTGTGGCCATGGAGGCGATAGACCCCTCCCTCGACAATTGACCCCCCAGTAACAATAGATCCACCACCAGCATCAATAGACCTTCCAGCACCCCTTGCTATTATATACATTCAGTGCTGGAGGTGCCAGAACTGCGTTCTCACTGAAAAAAGGTACGATAGGTAAGATAGATATATTTTGGTCTTTTTAAAGCTTTACTTTATCACTATGCACTTGTGCTTAAAGTGTTTGTAAAGGCTGAAGGTTTTTTACCTTCATGCATTCCATGCATGAAGGTAAAAAAAAACCTGTGTGCAGCAGCTCCCCCAGCCCCCTCAATACTTACCTGAGCCTCGTCATGATCCAGCAATGTGAATGACAGCCTTGGCTGTCCCGGGTCTCTGCCTTCTCATTGGCTGAGACAGCAAGCAGAAACCATTGGCTCCCGCTGCTGTCAATCACAGCCAGTCAGCCAATAAGCAGAGAGAGGGGGATGGATTCAGGCAGCTGTGTGCAAAACCACTGCACACAGCAGGTAAGTATAGCATGAACAAAAGAAAAATAAAATGAACCTTTAAAACCACTTTAACTTTTGTTACTTCAACTGTATGTGAAATGGTTTATATGAGTAGAATCCTAAGATATCCCAATAATTCAAAACTATACAACATTTCAACATTGTCCATTGGCTAATGCTCTTCATGACAAAAAAAAAATAAGAATGGGCATCCTTTCTGTGAATTTTTTTCTTTTTAACCTTGCATAGTACATGAACAAGCATTGGCCCAACTCTTATAGCAAACTAAGATTTAGAGAGGTCGAATATCAAGAAAAAAATAAAATACAGAAAAAAAACAGCATTTTTCATGTGTCACCCAGATCCTCTTTTTGGATAATAAAAGATGGGTTAGCAGTTATCAAGTATTTGGAATCTGAATAGAAATTGCAGTATGTTTTCACATAATTAATGCATAGTCACCATGAATTCTTAAACAGGTAAACATTTACATATGAACCCATAAAACCTACACATTAAGCATTTTTTTTTACTTACATTCACTATTTCAAAGAGTTTCTTTTTCTTTGAAGGCTCTTCCACCCACAGTACAATCTGACGCACATTAGAACATGGTTGGTTCTTCTCACCAACAGTGATCCGCACAGGATCCATTAAAAGCTGCTGGGCAAAAGTTTCAATGCTGGCAGGAATGGTAGCTGAAACCAGGATTGTTTGATGATCCTGTGCAGCCTGTTCAATAATATCAAGCACTTGCTGCTGGAATCCCATCTTTAGCATTGTATCTGCCTGGGAAAGGAAGGCAGACAAATAAATATATTCCACCAAGATGAAAAGAAAAAAAAATAATCAAGCACCATTTCACTTACAATATCAATAAGTTTTAAATGTTTTCTTTTCCAGAATCAGTATTTGTATACCAATGATTTACAGTATATATTGTATTACTCAGGGCATTTCTGAGTGTCAACCTTCCTGTACAATACAGGCAGCCTTAGTGAAGTTCCAGTACAGCGCCACTATAAATGAAAGTGATTCTAAGTCTACATTTTTTTGCTTTACAATAATAAACATGTCATCCTTACCTGATTGTTGCAATAGTTTTAAACAGAGCAGCTCTGATCCTCCTCTTCTCGGGTACCCCACCAGTGCTTCTGGCTCCTCCTCCCAGCTGAGTGCCCCCATTTCTATGGGGTTATTTGTGGGGGCTTGCTCCCAAATTATACTCTGTTTATCAATTGACACACACAGTGTGGCTCGAACCCACCCCCCCACTCTCTCCTCACTGGCTGTAATTGACAGCAGCAGGAGCAAGGGCTCCCGCTGCTGTCCTTGGGCCTATGAGGGGGGAGAGAGAGGAGATAGCCTCTGCTCTGCAAAGAGCTGGATGAGAATGGGCTCAGGTAAGTATAAGGGCGGGAGGGGGCAGCTACATACAGAAGGTTTTTTTTCTTGATGCATAAAGGTAAAAAAAAAACTTCTACCTTGAAAAACATTTTAATACCCAACCTTAGTAATCTCTCATAAAAATGCCAATCGAACTTGGCCCATCCGGAATCGAGTTTCACATGAACCAGTTCTGTGTGTACATTCAATTGCCCTGCTGTATTTGATTAATGATTTATTGGCACTATAAATACAGTGCCTTGAAAAAGTATTCATACCCCTTGAGATTTTCCACATTTTGTCATGTTACAAGCAAAAATGTAAATGTATTTTATTGGGATTTTATGTGATAGACCAACACAAACTGGCACATCATTGGGAAGTGGAAAGAAAATGATAAATGATTTTCAAAATTTTTTACAAATAAATATCTGAAAAGTGTGGCGTGCATTTGCATTCAGCCCCCTGGAGTCAATACTTTGTAGAACCACTTTTTGCTGCAATTAAAGCTTCAAGTCTTTTTGGGGATGTCTCTACCAGCTTTGCATATCTAGAGAGTGAAATTTTTGCCCATTCTTTTTTGCAAAATAGCTCAAGCTCTGTCAGATTGGATGGAGAGCATCTGTGAACAGCAATTTTCAAGTCTTGCTACAGATTCTCAATTGAATTTAGGTCTGGACTTTGACTGGGCCATTCTAACACATGAATATGCTTTGCTCTAAACCATTCAATTATAGCCCTGGCTGTATGTTTAGGGTCACTGCTGAAGGTGAACCTCCAGCCCAGTCTCAAGATTTCCCTGTATATGACTCCATCCATCCCCCACCAGTTTCCGTCACTGCTGAAGAAAAGCATCCCCCCAACATTATCCTGCCACCACTATGTTTCACGGTGGGGATGGTGTGTTCAGGGTGATGTGCAGTGTTTTCCGATACACAGTGTTTTGCTTTTAGGCCAAAAAGTTAAAGTTTGGTCTTATCTGACCAGAGCACCTTCTTCCACGTTTGCTGTGTCCCCCACATGGCTTCTCACAAACTACACATTGGACTTCTTATGGCTTTCTTTCAACAATGGCTTTCTTCTTGCCACTCCTCATAAAGGCCAAATTTGTGAAGTGCATGACTAATAGTTGTCCTGTGGACAGAATCTCCCACCAGAGCTGTGGATCTCTGCAGCTCCTCCAGAGTTACCATGGGCATCTTGGCTGCTTCTCTGATTAATTCTTTCCTTGCCAGGCCTGTCAGTTTAGGTGGATGGCCATGTCTTGGTAAGTTTGCAGCTGTGCCATACTCTTTCCATTTTCGGACATGTTCAAAAGTTGGGATTTTTTTTTTTGTTATAACCTAGCCCTGCTTTACACTTCTCCGCAACTTTATCCCTGACCTGTCTGGTGTGTTCTTTGGCCTTCATGATGCTGTTTCTTCACTAATATGCTCTTATAAACCTCTCAGGGCTTCACAGAACATATGTATTTATACTGAGATTAAATTACACACAGGTGGACTCTATTTAATAATTAGGTGACTTCTGAAGGCAATTGGTTCCACTAGATTTTAGTTAGGGGTATCAGAGTAAAGGGGGCCGAATACAAATGCACACCACACTTTTCAGATATTTGTAAAAAATTTTGAAAACCTTTCATCATTTTCCTTCCACTTCCCAATTATGTGCCACTTTATGTTGGTCTATCACATAAAATCCCAATAAAATACATTTACGTTTTTGGTTATATGACAAAATGTGGAAACTTTAAAGGGGCACTTTTTCAAGGCACTGTATGTTATGACATGACTATCTAGTCTTGTGAAAGCAATCAAACAATCAACTTCTATTGAGCAGGAGTGGCCACACACTGAAGTAAATTCGGCCTGTCCCTGCTGAACCGGATGAATTTTCTATCTGTCTATGGCCAGCTTAACTTACACTGAAGCAAGATTGAAAAAAATTAGGAAGTAATTCCATTCATTATTTAATAATACATTACATTATCACTTACCTCATCCACAATCAGAATCTTTAGTTTAGCAAGATTGACAGAATCTTGTTTAAGTATTTCCAAAAGCCTTCCAGGAGTTGCTATAATAAGCTTTAAAAAAAAAAAAAAAACAGGTGAAACATTCAGCTGGATTACAATGATAGGAATGCAATAAAAAGCACTGGACATAGTACAGAAGGGTATGCTTCAATAATAGATTGCTGTGGCATCTTCAAGCGAAAATATCTCATGCAAAATATGTAGGTTGCCATTGTTGGGCTTTGGTTGTGAAAATACCAATTGCTTATACATAGCAATAGTCCAAGGTCTTCCATACCTTGTGAGTCACAGACCAAAAACAAATATGCAGATCGGGAGTTCACTTGCAGAAAGTACTGAGAAGCAAGAGAAAATTTAGAGTGCTCTATATTTTAATGGCAATGCTTGCATACAATACAAACTCACAGTAAGCACTCCTCTTTTAAAATGACTGAATCTGTTTACCGATATACAAAAAGCCAATGTGTTTCAGAGATTTGTTTCCTCTTTTTCAGGGCTGAAAAGTTTGTACAATCTTCAACTGTAGACTCTGTAGACAGAGCAAATGCCAGTGATGAATGAGAGAATGAGTGATCCTCTGCATCTTTAATGAATTGGTCCTTGCTTTGAAAGTACTGCAGTTGTAGATAGCAAGGCAACTAGCATTTTTATACAGAGGTTAGAAGTGGCAGCCTTTGTTTGTCTCTGAATACAGAGGTCTGTAAAGGGTAAGTTCAGCTTTTAGACAAAAATAATAAATGCACATTTTTTTTGCAGGTAAAAAAATGTGCATTTATTATTTTTTGTCTACAGGAACTTGGAAAGCATTGCACCAGTGATCAGCAGATCGCTGATACCATGCAGGCCTCCTGCAGACCTGTCAATATATCTGCTTGGGCATATGGAATGTACGATCAAGCAGACATCCTGACACAAAGCTTCCATGAACTACCACAGCACTCCACAGTGCCATGGTAGTTCATTGAAAACTACAAGCCCACAGCCGCTAAGACTGTTGGGATTTGCAGTTCATTCATTCACGGAACTCTGTGAATGAATGATGAGGCCATGTGGGCGGAGCCCCGCATGGCCGCACTGTTTTCAAATCTGACATATAGTACAGGGATATGGGAACAGGTTACATGTTCCACCCTAAAAACGTGTGGAACATGTAATATGTTCCCAAAGGTGAACTTATCCTTTCATAGTACATGTACACAACCTCAACAGGAGAATTAATGAACAAACTCTACTAAAGAGACGTTTGCTAATTTTGGCTTTTATATTAAGTGCAGGGTCTTGTAGCCCAGGTTTAGACAACTGAGAGAATTTGTGCAAATAAATAATGAAAGAATGTGAATGGTGAGCACAAAGAAAAAAATGATAATGAAGAAAGCAGCTGGCACAATGTGGTAAACCCTCTGCTCCCACTTAAACAGACAAATACAAAATGGTGCAACACTAGATTACATGAAACAAATAAATAAAAACGTGCTGCCACACAATATAGATGAATAATGTCCAACATATGAAATGACAGGGACGTAAATATTGCACAGTGTTATGTCCCAAAAATAGAGCTGTGAAAGGGGTTCTGTGAGCAGTTGAGCCAGAGATCTGAAACCATGGCTGCTATAGTTGCCTAAGCCGCCCAGTGGGAACCAATCTGATAGGAGGGAAGCACAATTGCTCCCACTTTAGGAAGCATCCTACCCTTTGATGGATCGGTGACTGGAGATAAGAATTGAACAGATTTGCTTCAAAGTGTTAGTCCATTCTATGCTGTTTGCTACTTGCTTCTGGTGAGTGCAGAATGGTGGAGGAGTAACACAGAAGTCACTATTATTGTTTGTTCTTCATTTGATCACATTACATTTTGGGACTTTTATCTGGTCAAGCTCTATTTTTGGGACATATCACTGTGCAATATTTACATCCTTGTCATTTCAAATGTTGGACATTATTCATTTATATTGTGTGGCAACACCTTTTTATTTGTTTCATATAATCTAGTGCTGCACCATTTGTCATTTAACTGAGAGAATTTGGTGACTTGACTGAAAAGAATGTAGTCTCAAATAATACTCGTTATGTGCGTGCTCCACTATAGCAGCAAAGAATTGCTACAGTGCAGATTTACCTTTTCAATTTGGTGAGATATGTGTGTGTAATGATTGGCTCACACGTGTTCGGGTCCTAGTCTGAATCCGCCTGCGCAAACCCATCAGAAAGTTATCACCTGTACTGGGCCAGTCATCTGTGGCCATTTATGATTGGTCTAGTACAATGACAGATTCCTGGCAGGCTTGATCAGGTGAGTTCAGACTAGGATCCAAAACACACCTCATCCCTAATACTGAGTTGAAAACTCCTGCCTCTTTTTCCTCAAGCTCCACCCATTTTTCTATGTCAGCTTCAAAACAAGCAAAAAATACAACAAAAATCAAATATTAAAGAATAATTTGCAAATGTTTCCCAGCTTTACGGTTTTGATTGCTCCTTTATTGTGGAGATTATCTTTAATATATTGGCTGACAATATACAACGTTTATTACATAAAAGGACTAATCATTTTGGATGTATGAGTTTGGTTACCTGCACATTTTGCTTCAGCCGATAGACCTGAGGCGGTAAAGGCATCCCTCCTACAAGCAAAGCAGTCTTCATCTGAGGAATTTTAAACATTAGCTCCTGGGCCTGTTTCTCAATCTGCACAGAAAGCTCCCTGGTGGGAGTCAAAATCAGAGCAGCTGGAGCATCTTTCTAACAAAGAAAAACAAAATATATTTTTATACAGTGACAAACTCCCAAGTCACATCACAGAGCACATAGACCATTCACAATAAAGTATATGTACAGTCAAATTTTTTTTTTTTTTTGTTTTCAGTGGTATTCAGTGATAAATTTTATTTATAGCAGAGAAAAAAATATACCAGATGACCCTTGTCCTGCTCCACCACTACGCTATGGTAGTTTTCTTTCAATCATTCCAACTGCATATCTCTGTGGTGGAGGACAAGTGGTCATCTGGTATATTGGAAGGTCCTCTTCCGTCGGGAGGATCCTAACAGAGGGGATATTCATCCCAGTGGTTCACAGGAGGCTAATCCATTGCAGGGGCTTGAGGAAGGAAAGCACCCAAAAAGCGCTTTTGACCCACCTATGCACAGGGGGTCAATATATTGCGATAAGTGAAGTTCTGGAGGGGAAGCACAAGTGATAGCACGGATCACAAATTACCTGCTATGATCGCCAGCTATATCACCAAGTCACCATTGTATTTAAGATGTGGATGGTGTTTTGTAGTACCGGGACTTTATAAAGACGAATTGACACACATATTGGAGTTTTGAATATTGACCTTTCAAGGATATTCTTTAGCACAAATTTCCAATGTGTTGTATTAAGGGAAGGTGTATTGTAGTCCCTTAAAGTGGCGTTCCAACCATTTTTGTGTTTATTCAAAGTCAGCAGCTACAAAAAACTGTAGCTGCTGACCTTTAATAAACACAAGCTTACCTGTTCCGGGGTCCAGCGATGTACTCACCCGTGCAGTCCCTTCTCTCCATCTGTCCTCCACGGTGCCAGCATCTCTACTGTGGGAACCAGGACATGGCAGCTTACGGCTTCACAGCCTGGTGCCCACTGCACATGCTTGAGTCGCGCCGCACCTCCTGATTGGTCCGGCAGTTTCCTGGGACCTGTGAAAGTTCCCAGGAGACTGCGGGAGCAAGTAGGGGGCCAAAATTCTGTCTCCCTTTGCCTCAGCGAACTGAGCCGGAAGTATGAGCGGGTACCTGTCAAAACCAGGTACCCCCTGCCCCAAAATGTGCCAAATATGGCAGTGGAGGGGGATGAGGGGGGGCGGAGGAGGCAAATAAGCGGAGCTTCCACTTTTGAGTGGAACCCCGCTTTAAGTATTATTTACATATTATGTTCATTATCACATGATTTATGTTTTTTAATCATCATAGAGTGCTATATGGACATCCACACTGAGGAGGGAGGTGCATTGTAGCACGATACACTTGTTATTGATATTTACATCCATCTTTTAGAGATGTGACCAACATTCACTCATTGAGGAGGGAGATGTATTGTAGCACGCCACACAAATTCAATCACGTTTATTTTCAGAGTGTCCATCACGTATCCATTTACAATTATTAATTTTTTCACAGGTATAGGAGTGGCATCGCAGCATCCTAATTGATTTATTATTACACCCACTTGTGTTAGTTGCTAGCAGCAGCAGCCTACAGATCCTAATCTTTCAGTTTCTCAATATAATATTCTCATTGGACTGTTTGTACATGGATTCTCAATTCTGGGTTCCTTCCCGGTTTCTAATGGGTATTCCTTTTTATGGAGTGCTCCCGAACTGCAGCCAGCATACCCAATGACAATTTCAATGGCCCAAGGAAAAATCTGAATCCAGTGCTCCGTTTATTCTTGGGTTTGAAAAATAAAAACTTGACAGTGCTTCTAATTCTTTCCTACGCTTCAAAAAACAAAAAGGTTTGGCTATGCATACACTTTAATCCTGCTTCTGAGGTAGCTCACCATCTAACATTCCCATCAAAATCACTGTCCTCAAGATATAACACACGCACATGGTATGGCCTGTTTATGGTACCATTAGCTACACTTATGCATGTAGGGAATGTCAGCATAAGACACACTTTAACATTACCTGTTCAAGACAATGGGTGATGGCCGGAAGAAGGAAAGCTGCTGTTTTCCCTGAGCCAGTGTCTGCGCTTGCCAAAATATCCCGCCCCATCAATCCAACAGGGATCATTTGCATTTGGATGGGAGTGGGAACTTCATATCCAGCTCTTTTTAAATTTGCACAGAGTGCAACGGGAAAGCCTAAATGTTCAAATTCTATGATAGGTTTGCACACCTCATTCCCTTGCACAGACAAGCCAAGCTGCTGTCTTAGATGGTCAATCTGATCCTGCCCCAGCTGGGCTATAAAGTTGTGTTCAGTGTAGGAGTAAGTGGTGTCATGGGGGTTAGCTGTAGAAGAAGACGACTCCATGGACATGTATGGATGAGGTATGATATTAGATGCAGTATATAACTGGACTTGTCCTCCATCAGTACTTAGTACTGTCTGGTACTCTGGAGGACTAGTAGAGTTCTGGGTGCTGCTCTTCTGAGCTTGTAATATGTCCCTTGCTTTGCATTCCAAGCTGCAAACATCATGTTCTGTCCGATCACATATGTATTCTCCATATCTCCCACATACAACACACACCGGTTCCCCCGAAATGGGCCACCGCTGAAGTTTGCTGAAGGATTTGATGGGTTCATCTTCTAGGACACAAGATTCTGCAGAGGATGGCACAGAAACACAAGAAGGGGCAGACACTTCATGGGAGCCAGAGAGAACATCTAAAGAGGGGGATGGGGCTGAAAAGTGACCACTGGGCACCGCAGCTGGAGGATCAGGAGAAAACACAGATGGATCAATTTCACGAGAGGCAGATCCTGAAATACTGCCATTTCCTATGGAAGTGGGGGAATGTGGAGACACGGGAGAAGTGGAGGTGCTGGTTACGAAGGGGTGGTTAGAGGAGGCAGGGATGAGGGTAGGTGATGACTGTGACAACTCCGCACTGGGCAGCGATGGAATGAGAGCAGTAATGGAGGTTGAGGATTGATGTGACACCGCCTCAAACGTGCCCCCATAACTCCTATCAATGACTCTCTTCTTCCCCGCACTCTTTCCAGTCTCTGTCTTCCTCTTCACAGCTCTCGGTACAAACATTCTAATCCCCTCCAGTCATTACCGATCATCCCATCTGATACAAAAGCACAACTTCCTGTCAGACAGTGCGACGACACCTATGCCGTGTCAGCCACCCACGTGAGCTGTATCAGCCTATTATCTCCGTGTGCTCAGCACAAATGGGCTCTGTATCAGCCAATCATCTCCGCCTCCTTGACACACACCGGCGCTCAGTAATGAGGTCACTAGTTCCACTTCCGTATACACAACTCCATGGCAGTGATGGGGCTGTAGTGATGTACTGGATTTGGTTTTCTTGGAATTGTAATCACACATATACATATAGCCCGGTTGTTTCCACGATCTAATAAAGCTCAGCTTCTACTTTTCTATGGTATTCTAGGTTGCCATCTAATCGCTGTAAAACTGAACACGTATTAGTAACACAAGTTCTGTGGCTCAGATTGGCATGCATCAAATACTTCTGTTAAGAGCCTGAGATTTTGTATAACTAAAAGCCCATTCACACTTGTATGACTTGTCATGCGATTTTGAGGTCCAAAGTCACATGACCAGTTGCACCCCACGTTTCCCAATCAATAATTACCATTCATGTCTCAGTGACTTCAAGTCACAGCGACTTTAACCACTTGAGCTCCAGAGGATTTACCCCCCTTAATGACCAGGCCTCTTTTTGCTACTCGGCGCTGCACTAATGAAAAACTCAACTGATAATTGCGCGGTCATGCAATGCTGCACCCAAAAAAAATTACGTCCTTTTTTCACACAAATAGAGCTTTCTTTCGGTGTAATTTGATCATCTGTGCGCTTTTTATTTTTCACGCTATAAAACATAAAAAGGTCAAAAATTTTGAAGAAAAACAATATTTTTTACTTTCAGCTATAAAAAATATATAGTAAACTCAAAGTTGGTTATAAATTTAGGCCAAAATGTATTCTGCTCCATGTTTTTGGTAAAAAAAATCCCAATAAGTGTATATTGATTGCTTTGTGTGGAAGTTATAGCGTCTACAAACTATGGTATAGATACTGTAATTTACGCCATTTTTCTGCTATACAGCGCTGCGCTAGTTTAACGGACAATTGCACGGTCATGCAATATGGTACATAAATGAAATTTACATCCTTTTTTCCCCCACAAATTGAGCTTTCTTTCGGTGGTATTTGATCGCCTGTGCGGTTTTTTATTTTTTGCGCTATAAAAAAAAAGGCTGACAATTTTGAGGAAAAAAAAACAATATTTTGGACTTTTTGCTATAAAACATGTCCAGTAAAAAAAAAAATGCAAAAATCAAATTTAGTCATACATTTCTGCCAAAATGCATTCTGCGACATGTCTTTGCTAAAAAAAAAAAACCCAATATGTGTAAATTAATTGGTTTACGTGAAAGTTATAGTGTTTACAAATGGCGGGAAAGATACTGGGATTTTTAGGTTTTTTTTTTTACTAATAATGGCGGCGATCAGCGAATTATGGCGGCGATCAGGGACTTATGGTAGCGACCAGCGACTTATGGCTGGACTGCGGCGGACATTCTGACATTGGGGGGTACTGACTTGGGGTCACTGACATCCCCAAAAACACTAATACAGTGATCAGTGCAAAAAAAAAAAACACTGACACTGTTCTAATGGCAATGGGGAGGAATGGGTTAACTTTATTTTGCAGGGAAGGGTTATAGGAGTGAGGGGAGTGTTTTACTAGGGGGCGGGGGTGTGTACTGGACGGGACAAGGCTGATCGAGAAAGAGAAACTCTTCTTTCTCGATCAGCTCATCCTCGAGCTGACAGGGAAGTGACAGACAGCACAGCTACTGCAGTCACTGTTTGCCGCCGATCGCCGGGAAACAGCCGCTAAGGAATGGCTGTGACCCGGCGACTCACATCTGCGGTGGTGATCGGCGGGACAGATAGGGCGGCGGCGCGCCTCGCGCACGCCCATTTGTTTACAAAACACAAGTTTTAAAACTTGGTTTTGCCTGCGAGTGCCGCCCTGCCGCCGTATATCTACAGTGGCTGGGCGGCATGCGGTTAAAGTAGTTCCTGCACTACTTTGGTACGACTTTCATGCAACTTAAGGGCCATAGACTTCAATGTAAACCCTCCAAAGTCGCATGAAAGTTGCACCTGAATGACATACATGCGACTTTGTAGAGCACAAACAATCATCCTTGCTCAAAACCAAAGTCGCACTCATCCAAATTCGCATCAAAGTCACACTATAAATATCCAATGAAAATCACGTAATTCTGAAGTCGCACAAGTGTGAATGGAGCCTAAAGAATATCAATCCAAGTAAATTTCTGCTCTTAGATTAAATAATCATATGGTGAAAGCAGCTAGCACAGGTAAAAGATACAAAACCTCAAACGGCATAGTGCAAAAAGTGCAGCGCTAAAATATTAATAACCAAAAATATTGTTAATCAGTTAACCACTTACCCTCCTGAGGATTTACCCCCCTTCCTGACCATGCCATGTTTTGCAATACGGTGCTGCGTTACTTTAACTGACAATTGCGCGCTCATGCAATGCTGCACCCAAATGAAATGTACGTCCTTTTTTTCCCACAAATTGAGCTTTCTTTTGATGGTATTTGAGCGACTGTGCGTTTTTTATTTTTTGCGCTTTAAAAAGCAAAATATAAGACTGATAATTTTGAGAAAAAAAAACATAATTTTTGACTTAATGCTATTAAACATGTCCAGTAAAAAAATAAAAAAAATTAAATTTTGTCATAAATTTAGGCCAAAATGTATTCTTCTACATGTCTTTGCTAAAAAAAAAAAATCCCAATACGTGTAAATTAATTGGTTTATGTGAAAGTTATTGCATTTACAAATGATGGTAAAGATACTGGAATTTTTTTTTTTTTTGCTGGTAATTGCGGCGATCAGCGACTTATAGTGGGACTGCGGCAGACATTCTGACACTGGGGGAACTGACTTGGTGTCACTCACATCCCCAGTGACACCAACACAGTGATCAGTGTAAAAAAATGTACTGACACTGTACTAATGGCACTGGGCAGGAAGGGGTTACCATGAGGGGATATCAAAGGGTTAACTGTGTGCAGGGAGTGTGTTTACTAGTGGGCGGTGTCTGTGAACTGCACTGTAAGCACGCTGCTTTGGATGGCTGCGTTGTGCACAGCCATCCAAAGCAGTGTGCCCGAGCTGTCAGGGAGAACTGTTAGTAAACAAAACAGTTCTCCTCCCCTTCGCAGATGCTCGGTAATTATCGGGCATCGGCAGGTAATCACTGGCTGGGACCCAGCTGATTGACAGAGATTTGTTCACATCTGCGTGTTTTCACCGGTGCATTTTTTGGAAAGCGTCAAGGACTTTTTTGAACGCAAAAAGTTGTGTTTTTGGTTTTATAGACTTCAATGGAATTGCTGCACAAAAGTATGTATTGCGTTTGTGATGCGTTTTTTATGTGTTTTGCGTTTTAAATATGCCTAGCAACAAGAAAACAAAAAAAAATTAAAAAAAAGCAAAACACATCAAAAACATGGCAAAAACACAGGTGCAAAACCGCAAAACGCAGTGCAGAAACTACTCAAGCATAGGTGTGAACTTAGCCTAAAGGAAAGTGAATCCAATCATCGAAAGAAAAGGAAAAAAACTCATATCAGTGAGACCGGAGAGAAGGGGGTGACACCTCAAAATCCCTGGTGACAACAAGTAAGTAGGAGCTCTAACCGGACCTATTGGGCTTTCAACTGAATGAAAAGCCAACAGCAGTTTAGGGGTTAACCCCAATCTTATCCACAATAGATGGCACAATGGTATTTCAATCTCTGGTTCCACTCCAACTCCATTCTCCACAGATGATTTACGGTGCAAGATTCAATACAATAATGAAGACCATAAGGGTCCTTATTTTAAACCAGCCTTTTTCAACCAGGGTGCCCATGCATCATGGGGTGCCTTCAGGCTTCTTCAGGGGTGCCTTGAAAATACGCCTAAAAATTGCTTGGGAATTGTATACAAGCTTGCCTTTTATTACACAAAGCCACCGGTTTTCATTGTGCATTCTTACGACCTTCAAGCTGCCGGCATCCTAACACCCAAAGATGTCATCAGTCGATAATGAGAGAGAAAGGGATAAAATACACAAAGTGCCAACATCCCTAACGAATACAAGGGGGGGGGAGTCCTCTTTTTTGGTGGGACTTTAATGGCACAATTTAGTTGCATGATAAATTTCAACTATTCAAAAGAGATTTTTTATAAAAACAGTATGATATTTTATTTTTACAATCTTCAAAAATAAATAAAAAGCTACAATACATATTGTGGCGGTGTTATCAGAGATAGTATTACAAATCTAATCATGGATCATGGTTCGCACTTGACGCATTTCGAGATCAACAAAAATCTCTTCTTCAGAAGTGCTCAAGAAGGCATGATGTATGATTCCATGTGAGGTAAAAACTGCCAGGAAATATTAAAAACAAATTGTGAACACAGCCACGGATTTCTCATATATCTCAGGCAAAAATGATGAAACAAAAATTATTAAAGAAAAAACTGAGACCAGTGGATGAAAAAAATGTTGCCCAAACGCCTCCTGAAGGGGCCTCGCACAAATGCACCATTAACAAGATTACCTGCTGGTTGGTACTGATAGGGCTGTGCTACTATGAGTGCAAAGCGATGACCACAAGGAATTTGCGTGAGAAAGTGTTGATCACCAGGTCTATCCCAAGAAGCATGCTCGATGGCTGTGAGGTACCCGCTCCCACTACAGTTCTTGTCTAGGCAAGAACATCAGAGGTATATCCCACACTCACAATCTCCTGGGACATGCCATGTCCCAGGAGGCTGCTGGCCGAATCTGAAAGTGCAGTGCATCCCGTGAATGCACAGAAGGATGCTGACTGTGAAACAGCAGGAAGCCGCAGCCATTTTCCCACAGGTAAGATGGCGGCGCCTGTGATCTAAAGAACCAGACCAGGTCAAGACAGCGCTGGACTCCTGGGCTGGTAAGTGGTTGGTGAGTGTTACAATGACC